GAGATATTGAAAGGGTAAAAGAAAATACAGTAAAGGCACAACACCAAATGGTGGAACAGACAAATAAGCATAGAAGACCATCTTAATTCGTTGTAGGTGATTTGGTGTGGGTTAAGTCCAAAGAGTTTGGTCCTGAGGAGAACTTTTCTCAGAAGTTACTACCCGCCTACAGAGGACCTTGGCAAATTCTTGATGTGATTGGAGAGGTAGATGAACCTTCTTATGTAGTTGAGATTCCTCTACATTTGCATACGTATCCGGTGTTTCACGCCTCAAAGCTTCTACCTTGCGTGACAAATGAGTTGTTTCCCAGTCACAGATCAGCGATACCTCCTAGTATGAATGGGAAATATGATGTGGATAAGATTGTTGCTGAAAGCACTTTCCTAACCGGACGAAGAGGCAGGCCCCAGCGACAATATAAAGTAAGATTCGCTTATCAGGACCCAAGTGAAGATCGAGAATTTACTTGAAACTGCACCTCACATTGTATCTGCGTATGAAAGAGCTAAAAGAGGAATAAGTATTATTGATAGATGAACGTTTTCTCAGAGGACTTCGAATTTAGGCCGGCGAGAATAAAAGGGCCTTTACCTGATTCAGCCCTTGTTCGACGAAAGCAGCATATTGGGGTCCCTCGCCCAGAGCCCAATTCGTAAAAGCAGATTAAAAGACATGTTCTCCGGGTCAAAGGTCACATCCTGGCTACAGTAAAGACAATGTCAAAGGTCATGGTTGATCCCTGGACGAACAGTCATCATGTTTGGATTTAGGGGTCACATCTGTTCGCCAGAGGCAATGCAATTCATGTCTATTTAGACAAGGGATGTGTCTGTGCATACAGTCAATGTGTCTGTTCGTGCAAAAAGAGTGTCTGTTCGTGCAAAAAGAGTGTCTGTTCGTGTAGAGAGAGTGTTTGTTCGTGCATTAGGTGTGTCTGTCCAGCAGAAGTCAAAGAGTTACGTTCCAGTCCAGATTCGAGTCAGGAAGAAAGTCTAGATTTAAATTGGGAGTCTGGATATGGTGGACACTTACCTGTTGGCGCCACACTTGTGACCTGAAGGAGAACGCTGGTTGAGCCAGGTTCCACGTTGTTGTATGACGAGGGAGACTTACCTCTTGTTGGCGCTGAGCTCTGGAACTCATGATACTCTTTGTATTAAGTGACATTGATAATATAAGTTGCGCTACTTGGTTCTTATCTCATCTCAATCTGGTTTTGTGTGAGACCACTTTGTACGTGTGATGACATGTATGCATGCGGTTTGATGCACTCGAGCAAGCTGTGAACAGTCAGGTTCCTTGCACAATGTAAGTTGCCAAGGTGAAGTGGCACAACTACATGAAAGAGGACTGAAATGGACATGGTGGACATTGGGAGAAGACTCGATCAACCAAACATAGGGAGCCAAGTAGACCTGGGATGGGGATGAGCAGAGCAGGTCGAAAGCAAAATACGCTTAGGCAATGCCATGGATGCGGAGATCAATTCGGAAACAAAAGGCGAGGGTCTAGGGTTCAAGGGGTAACGACGTCAGAGGATCACCACACGAGGGAATAGGGGGGGTGTGATAGGGAATCAGACAGTGGTTGGGGGGATTCTCCAGGGGAACTGATATGGTAGTATTGCAGGGGGAGTACAAAGTATAAAAAAGTTGAGAGGACGGAAACAGGGTACAAAGTAATAAAAAGTTACAGAGTCTATACAGACAAGATAAAAAAAAAAAAAAAAAGCCTCAAGGGATCAAGGTGGAGACAGCAATAGTCGGGGGGAACAACCAGAGGCGAGGAAGTGAGCAAGAGAACACTAGGGGGAGACATTGAGCCGAAACACAAGTCAGGGAATAGATGAGGTGTAAACTAGGGTTTAGGGTCAAGGGTTTAGGGCTTAGGGGTTCTAACCCAGACTTTAAGCTTCACGGGTTTTCTCAGTGGTTTAGTTGTTCCTTTACGCCAGCCAGCCATCTTTATTCCAGTTCTGACTTTTGTTGAAATTGTAGTTAAAGGGATACTGTATCCAGTTTCAAGTTTAGCTTAATTAAGGCATAGTTGGAACGATAGGGGTACAGTAGGTTTCAGGGTTTAAGAATTTTGAAGAAACAAGTGGACCCGCCACAACAAAGCTGCGCCACAGAAGAGGGGTGTGTGGACAGGCAGGCAGGGAGGGCAGCAAGTAAATATGCAGACAAAGGCCGGCCCCCCGCAAAAAAAAAACGATAGCGAGGCTTTTGGAAGGGAACTTCTAAAATCATAATTGGAGGTAAGCAAAAGAGAGGACCAGCTGATTCGGGAAAAACAAAAACGGTTTCACGTGCAGGGGAAAAACAAAACAAAAAGGCCAGACTGAGTTGTACACCTATCAATTGTTGAAATAAAGATAGGAGTTCGAGTTCCAATGGAATCAGATGACACAAAATAACTCTGAATTAACTTGTTGTCGGTCGGCTCAAAGGTGATATATGAAGGCCTTCGCCTTTTTATAAAACAAGTGGACCCGCCGCAGCGAAGGACGATGACAAAAACACAGTAGCCATCAGTTGGATACCATCTTTGCAATGTACCCCTACCGAAAGCTGCCAAACTTTGCAAAATGGCCCGACAGTTGCCAACTTGTTGTAGGTGCAATTGGATTGACCTTAATAGGAAAGCGGAATAGAAAGCAAAAAAAAAAAGACACAAAGAAAAAGAAAAGTCGTTCCTCTTCCTCCAACGATCTTCTCCCTGTCCCCTCATCCCCCCCTCCGACTCCTCCCTCCTCCCTCCTCCCTCCTCCCTCCTCCCTCCTGCCTCTTGCGTCCCTCCCTCCTTCCTCCTCCCACCTCCTCCATCCGCTCCCCTCCCTCCGCCATCAAGATCAAGATCTCGAAGGTGAAAAATATTAGCCACTGTGAGTGCAAAACTGAATAAGCCTAGGGAGAGGGTGCTAGGAGGCAAAAAAGGAGAGAAAAAGGATGAAGGAGGGACTGCCCAGCAGTCCGAGATATCTCGGACTAGCAAGGCACAAGAAAATAGAGCCCCAATGGACTCTATGCAGAAAATAAGCTGCCAAGGAAAAATCAGAGCAAAGGGGGGCCAAAATTTGAGAAAATGGAGGCAAACGGGAGCCCCCATGAGCATGGGGGCTTCATTATTGCAATCCGAGATGCAACGGCCAACTGCTGGGCATTAATATGGCCATGAATGAGGATCAAAGGCCTAGAAAGAGGGTGCACAGCTGCTTGACACTTATCACAGCAGAAATAAAAGAAAAAGAGAGAAAAATGAGAGAAAAAAGAGGGAGAATGAGACAAAAGGGGAAAAAAGAATGGAGGAGAATGTGCCGGTCAGTTGGGACTGCCACAATAGGGACTGGCAGGTCCCTACTGTGACCTCATCCCTCCACATTTGGTGGAGGGAAATCCGGATTGCACAGATAATGCCCTTGGGACATTATCTCAGCAATATCTGAATTAAAAAGGGCAAAAACAAGAGAGAATGCAAAAAGGAGTTGGCCATTTTTTTTTGTGGGCCATGGATCTGAGAGCATATGGCCATTTTTTGTGGGCCCAGCTGCCACTCCGTCTGTGTATGGTCTGGACCTGGCGCATTCTTCCTGTGTGTAACGCTAGACCCTTCACACCTTGCGATGATGATAATGTATGTTGGGTTTGCATTGCAAGATTGATTGGGCTGATCATTGGTATTTTAGCCTTCCGCTGCGCTATCCTGTACTATGTGAGAGAGGTCGGTTCTTGTTCTGGTCTGTACCATTACGGTATGTGACAGTGGCGCTACAGCCATAGTTGCAGCTTCCTTCCTCAGAGAGCATCTTTGTCAGGAGAGGTGGCGCTGCTACAGATTTCCATCTGGGAAGTCCATTGGCACGTCATCTTCATCAGACACTGTGGCGTTGGTCTTCTTCTCCATCCTCTGAAAAGCACTTGGCCTCAGAGGCCTGTTTCAGGGTGGCGCTTCCCTCTGGAGGAAGTATATGGGTGGCACTTGATGTTTCAGGGGCTCAGGGGTACTTCTAGTTGTTTCTCAGGGTTGGGGAGTGAAGCGCTGCTCATTCCTGAGCAGCGCACCATAGTTCTGGGGTTATTCTGACAGTTCGAGACTCCGAGTTTAATAAACAGTGTTTATATTGTGTGTGGACCATCTTTGTTTCATTGTTTCGTGGATGTGATCTACTCGGCTTTCCTTTGTGACTAGTTGTGAGGATTCTGTGGAGCGAATTACACTTCCAGTGTTTTCTGTCATATCGCATGGTCAAATCCTCCGCTGTGTTTATCTCTCCCTGTGCGGTGTGATACTCCCATCCTCTCCTGTTCCTTCTGTGTATGTATGGGCATACTTGGAAGTCTATGTGAGCGAGTGTTGGTCTTCTGACAACACACAACCAGGATCATAACATTCCTATATCGTACTCTTCCTGCTGTGATCCCAAACACACACGGCCACAGGCCAGTACCAGGCCCGCGGGCCATTTCAGCACACAGACCATCATCAGCGGGTCACACACACACACACAGGTTCTCAAGTAAGCGGGTAAGCGCACGGGACACAGGTATCAGCAGGCACTCAGCAAACACAGCAGAATGCGAAAATCTCAGAGAATCAGTCCAGTGAGCAGCAAAACTCAGAAGACAGCAAATTTTTCAGTTCGTAATTTTGCAGGTCATTACATCTACATAAAAGGGAGAAGTAGCTTTACTACTTTAGAGGAGTAGAAGGTGATGAGAAGAGGAGTTGTGCATGCGATCTCCTCGGGACTCTGGGGTTATGAGTCTAATATTTCTCTCCACTTCCTTTCTTGAATCTTGCACCATTGTGTATGTACCAAATATCACTTGGATTGCCCTTCCATTGATGGTTGTTGGACTTTCATAGCCTGTTTCCTAAACGAACTTTTCTTCGTTTCTACAGAAAAGTAATTCTCCCCTTCCTTTTGACCATTGGGGTACGTATGCTGTTGCAACACTCACCTTCCATTATTTTTCTAAATTTCGTATTTGAGGCAGGTGATCCATGGAGACGAGTTCTAAATGTTACGTCAGAGCTGGACTCAAGTACTGAATCAAATACCAACTTAACATCATGCAAAATCCAGATTCTCATAAAGCGGACATTCAATTTTAACTTTTACACTGTAAGTCTCTCTCTATCTCTCTCTCACACACACACATACACAGACACATACAGACACACAATCGCATGTCTGTGGGTGGCCACAAGTTTTTGGGATGGGAATGTATGCTAGGAGTTTTGGCCATGGTATCTTTGCGAGGAGTCTCAGAGGGTGTTTGTTGTGGGTGCCATTCCCGCACGCTGCTCTTTTGGAGCATATGGAAGAAATGCGGGCTTCTAGGGTGTTTTAAGCAATAGCGCTCTGGTGTCGTGTGGAGATCTCATGGAGTTTTGGATTATGGCACTCTATACAATCCAGGGGTTACACAACGAAGTTAATAGCGGGGTTGTCTGGCTATAGAGTGATAGAGAGATGGTGATGTGAGCAGGTCGTTCAAGATAAATAGCAGTCTTAGTGCTATTGTACTTCTGCAATTAATCTTGTGGCTTTGTGGACTGACTTAAGAGAGCTCCTCAAGTTTTTTCAGACCATTGGCGGATGTGGTCAGTGCTTTCTTGTGGGTGGAGCCTTCTGTGTTGAGTATGTTGCCTTTTGCCCTCCATCTTTTCATGGACTACAATATGTATATGTATACATGCCACAGCCCCTAGTTTGTTGCCTTTTGCCCTCCCTCTCTGCCGACGGTGTACCGGGCAGTTCTGTTTGACAATATATGCGTGGATTTGTGTCTTTGGCATGCCCGTAAGGGTCTCAATGAGGCCTGAACTCGTCAAGTTTGCAAGTCTTGGTGGGCGCCAGACAGTTACCACGCACCAGTACATCCTCCCTGTTCGTGAGAATCAGAAATATGTGTTAGCCTTCTAGGCTCTTCTGGCCGTGTCATGCAAGCAAAGGCTCACTTCACGTTTATGCACAGGTGGTTGGGCACACTCAACGAATTCGGTCCCAGGCCGATGTCTGTGAAAGGCCTTCCACGATTCAGACCCCAAATTCGGATCTCAGGGTCAGATGCCCTGGTCAAGAAAAGGCCGAGTTCGTCAAACTCAGAAAAGTCACAGTCGGGTACCTCAGCAGTCTGGTCCAACAGGCACCCAGCAAACAGTCACATCTCAGGGACAAGAGTCACGTCTCATAATAAAAAGCCATTTTGAGGAGTCACATCCCACGAGAGAAAAGGCAGATTCACAAGCAAGAGTCATGTCTGAAAGGCAGGGGTCACGTCTCATAATGAAAAGTCTTACTGAAGCATCACATCCCATGAGTAAAAGGGCAGTTCCACAGGCAAAAGTCGTGTTCCAGAGGCAGGAGTCACAGTCCACAGTCAAAAGTCGTGTTCACAAATGAAAAGTCACGACTCAAAGGCCCAAGCAGCAGCAGACCAAAGGAAATCCGGGAAGGTTCTAGGCCTTGACATTCAGAAGCAGACAGGCCGTGGGGATGTGGTACCAGAACCAGCCAGGTCCCAGAAAGCAGAGGCTGGCACGAGTTGAAGAGCATTCCAAGACTACAAAAGGACTGGCCAGCCTACCATTCGGGCAGATTGGCTCATTCGCAAGAAGTGTGGAAGTGCTAGTGCACTTGTGCGCTGATGTGAGGGGCAGAGCGCTGTAGCCAGAGTGCTGCGCTAAGAGAGAGAGAGAGAGGAAGACAGCACTGGCAGGGAGAAGGCAGCCATAGCTGCGCAAGTGCAGGGTGTTAATGGTAGCAGATAGTAGTAGACTACAGAGGGGTTAGTAGAGTTGACAGTGGGTGTATCAGAGTAGATCCTTGAGTAGAAGTTAGTGAGTGTGCATGCATGTAGGGAGAGAAGATACAGCGAGGACATAGCTAGGGAGAAGACCAGTGAAGAGAAGAGATTCAAAAGAGGGAAGAGCACTGAGGAAGAGATACTTACCTGAGAGCTTATGCTGGTTAATGGTTACCTTTGTATGTGCTGATGGGCGCTGGTGACTTGAACTCTTATTGCTCTTGTAATACTTTCTGGAAATGATAAGGTGCGTTACCTGGTCTTCATCTCTCTGGGCTACAGTGTGAAATTCGTGTGAACTCATACTTGCATGTGGTGTGAATATGTGCGCTCACTGGTGTTGAACTCGGAGGTTCATTGCATCTGAACGTGCCTGGGTACAGACACTTTGGCCCAACTTGAAGCTACTGGGCGCACGGTCACCAGGGCCAGGCAGCGAGTGTTGGCAAGCACTTTTCCATATAGGGAAGTGCCTGCCTGCCAGTGGGGCATTCGGGCACTTGGTAGTCCAAGCGGCAGCACTGCTGGAGTGTACACTCGCGCCTGCCGGCTAGCGCTGGACATGCAAGAGCGCAAGCGTGGGTGCAAGAGGAAGCGGGCGCTGCTCGAAGGTAGCGCCATAGCTTGGCCCCCATAGCCGGGCAAGCTTGGACTAATGTCAGCGGGTATGGTGGAGGTCTTCGGGTGAAGGGGAGACGTGGGTGATTAAGTCGAGGGTCAGGGGCGAATGAGGAAGTGATGTGAGGGCAGGTACCTGGTCTTGGCGAGGGTCTACATGGTCGACATCTGCAGGTACTTCGGTTGCTGTTGCTGGCGTCAACTGGTTGCTTCATCATTTCGTAGGCTGGCAGGATACTGTAGGATAGTAGTCTGGGTGCTGAGCACCATTAGGAGGAAGAGCTTCAATTGCATTGTTGGTGGTGGCGAGATTATGCTTTCATTGACAATGGAGTTCGCTGCTTTGGTTCTCCTTCAGTGTTACATCAGTGCATTTCTGCTTTCTGAACGGCTTTCGACTAGATGGCTTTCATTGTGATTTTGCAATCTGGATTTTTCTTTTTTCATTTTTTTATGACTAAGCTCTATTCTTCACTCACAAACCTCACTCTACCTAACTACCTGCATATATCAGTTTCTCAGCAAGGGACAGTAAGGAGTATGGGTTAGATTTTTCCGGTCTTCCTACTCTGCTCTATGCGGGGAGAAATACCCCAGCTCCTAACACCTGGGTTGAGATGGAAAGCGCCAAGCCTTCTTCCGCAACCAGCCAGGAGGCCCAGGCCAGTTATCTCTGCTGGTGAACCCGAAGCGTATCACAGGGGGGCCATGGGGGATCGAATGGACAACGTGGGGAATCGAACCCACGACCTCCTGAATACCACTTGTGTGCTCAACCAACTGAGCCAGCCCACTTGGGCTTGCAATCTGGAATTCTGTATTTCGCTATTGCTCATTTTCCGTGCAATTTGGTATCGGAGCTGGTTCGAGCGGCTCTGCTGGCTCCTTAGCAATAGCTGTTTGGTGCTTTGTCGTGGAATGGTGAGGCAGTGATAAGGCTTGTGCGTTGGGAACATTGGCGGCCCTGCGTAGAGAGGCCGCGCCAGGAAGGCTATGTGGTGACTTAGGGATGCACGCTGGATGATGAGAGCTTGCTGGCATTTAAGCCGAGGTGGAACAGCATTATATTGTGG